ACTTAGATATGCTAATGTAGGAACGCTTTGGCATCTAAAGCAACAGGTGATCCAAACACCTCCAAACGCCATTATCTATTTGGCTCTAGAGTTCTTTAGCAACACATTGACTTCCCCATTTTCCTGTCCACCTAATACTAGTGCTACTAATAATAATGTTAGCCAATTTATTGATATTTTACTTGCGCCAAGTGCTCTAAATGCATGATCTCATTGAAATGTCACAGTGATTCTGTGAAGTAGGCACCATAATTATCCAAATTCTTTAGGTAGGGAAACCACAACATGTAGAGATTAAGTAATTTACCCAAGGTCATACAGAAAGTGTGGCAAGGCCCATGTTCAAACCCAAGGATTCCAGAGCCTACATCTGTATTGGCTTTTGGCTATGCTGTGAAGTGGTGTCCTAGAAAGGACCTTGGCCAGCCCATATACCACCTTGTGTGATTAGACCCATGCCCTGCGAGCTGGGGCAGGCTGCATTTAGTTCCCACTAGCCCACTTGACCAGGTGTCCTTTGTGGTGTGTAGCCTGCACAGCCGTAGGCAGCAGCTCTGAGCACATGTGTATTAATTTCAATAAGTCCAACTGTAAACTCCTGGCAAAATGAAAACAGAGAACTAAGAGATTAGCCCCAGAATGAACCTGCATTTGCCTCAGTTTCCAGATGCCCCTCAGAATATGAGCATCTTGCCACACCAAGTATGTATTTAATGATATTTCTAGGTTTGTTCTAGTGTTTAAAGTTCTAGTGTTTAAAGATAGGTACTTTTTAATAATGTCTCTAAACACAAGCTAGATCCTTCATGTGCACAACCAAAGAAATTCTGTTCTTGTGCTGGAGAAAAAACTGGGTGTGCTAGACTTCCAATTTGTTTCAATTTGTTACCTTCCTGATGGAATTTTGAGGGCAAGTTTGGCTTATGTGACTTATGCTATAAGTGCTAACTAATGTCTCTCTCCAAGCTCCTTGCCATTCCCCTATCTATACTGCCTCAGTGAGTTTCCTGAATGTCCTGTGTCCAGTGATGGAGCAGATGGGGGGATTCTCACTGAGAGAGAGTTCCAGCAGCTCAGGTAATGGCTGGCAGGATAATGGGCCTAGGGTTTACCATTGCTTTGGATACATCACATCGGATTAATGGTCAGGCAGAGCTACAGAGCTGGCTCTGCACCAAACCATTTCCAAGTCTGGTTTATCTCCTAACTCCCTCTCTGAACATACCAGTAAACTCCTGTTTTCCCACAGGCCAGCCCCCACCCTACCTCAGATCTGCCAGAACTTGAGTGTGGGTAGGAGGTGAGGCTGAGCCCTGATTGCCACATTACAGACACACCTAGGAGCTGGGTGCTGGCCTCCTGAGTTTAGGGAACGAATGGGGCATTTGAAGGGATGCACCCTGGGGCCTCAGAGACTTGGTGAACACCCAGATAATCCTTGGAGAGAACGGGGGCCTGGGTAAGGGTATTGGGGTATGTGGTATATTGGGAGGCATCCCTGTCCCATCCTTTTCTCCCTCTGCCAGTGTTATTATCATGCCCAAAAAATCAGCCACTTTGCCCAGAAGATCTAGTTTTTTTCCCATCCTCTGCTCCTGTGTATCTTTTGCTTAAACATCTTTCAGAAACTCTTCCTGGACTGGTTCAACTTAATTCTGATTCCTGTAGTTCATAAATATTTATTAAGCAGCTATTTTGGCTCTTGGTACTAGGAATTGAATATGTACATGATACCTGTCCTGTGGAGCCTACTTCTAGTGGAGGAAATAGATCATAATCTAATTTTTAAAAATTAGGAAACAAGAGAATGACAAATTCTATGAGTCAGTTAAAATGATAGTGATCATATATGTATCCTTGGTTGAGCTGGCTTGGGGAAGGCCACGTGAATTTAGATCTAAAGCTCCAAATTTCTGAAGATCCTGGGTTCCAGAGCCAGATAACAGCAGTGTTCCCCAAGCGCCTTTCCCAGGAGGTCCATAAGGAGAGGGAGGCCAGAGCCAGGTCACCCCAAGCCTTGCTAAGGAGTTGGGATTTAATTGTAGGAATGAAAAGCTTGCAGAGAATTCTGAGCAGGGGATCTTTCCTGGCTGTCACGAGATAATGGTTTATAGGGAAAATATGAAAGAACATAGGAAAGTTGCTTCAGAGGTCCAGACAGGAGAAAGGGGGTGGCCTGCCCTTTTGTTGAAGTCCTTTAAACAAGAGGGCCTTTGCCTGCTTCAGATGGTACTTTAAACTTTAAAGAGATGCTTTCAGCCATGTTGACCACCTCAGCTTCCCCCTTAATCCCTCAGGGACTGGCTCCAGCTGTTTCTGAAATCTCACCTCACTCCAGGAAGCTAGCTGTCTTGTCTGTCTGTAGAAAGGATTGAGTGTTGGCCCTGGATCAGCTGTGTTCTCCCCCCTGTGGCTGCAAGGAGGTACTGCAAGGATATCTCTATAGAATTAAAACCCAAGACAAATATAAAGCAGTAGCTCCAATTCAGGGACATAAGGGAGCAGAGCTAAGGAGTAGTCCTCCTCTCCCTTCCAGCCAGGTGGATTTAATCAAATTGGTTTCCTCAGGTCCATTTTGAGCATGGTTTCTATCATTTACTCATCAATATTTGAGGCCTACCCAACCTGTGCCAGAGCCTGTGGTTGGTGCAGTGACCAAGGAAGACAATCATGCCCTCAGAAAACTTGCACTCTCAAAGGGAGTCACTTAGGTTAGCAGAGTGTCTCATGTCCTGCTTTTGCTTCCTGGCTTCCTGCAGGGATGTCAGAGGTGATGATGGGGGCTCCTTCATTTGACACACAGTGTGGCCTTGATGAGACTTCCTCAGAGACTCTAGCTGGAGACTCTCCAGCCCTGTCCTCGGGGCTCCTGGGCTTATGAGCCTGGGCTCAGCTGTGCCCTCTGCCAGTCTCATTGGTACATTGCTAGAGTAGAAGTTCTGCTGCCCCTCTGTGACCTGGAGACACAGATGCTGGATATGAGCTGCCTCCACCCCCGACTTCCTAAAATGTCAACCCAACAGTCCCCTCACTCACCCTTCACTGCATTTAGAGGCCAAGGCATATTCTGTACCTACCCCTTGCTCTTGTTCCTGCCCTCTCCCTGACCCTCTGGGACTGGTCTTCTCTGAATTGGTTCTTTACTCCCACTTTCTGATTTGAATAGTCCCCTTGTTGCTTTTTCAGGCTAGTGAAACATCCATGACCACTTCAAGAGCAGTAAGTATTCAGATACAGGTTGGGCAAAGATCATTTTTTACAGATGGGGAAACTAAGGTCCAGTGAGGTCAGCTAGCTACTTCCTATCAGGACTACCCAGGTCTTATCTCCCTCAGCCCACAATTTTGTATATCAGTCTCAGGAGGAAGGCAAGTTATCTGCCCCTAATTCAGTCTTCCATCTCCCTGGCCTGGGCCATCAGCATAGTGTTAAAGAATAAAATTTACAAAGGTCTTAGAGAAAAAAGATTCATGTTTTATTGCCACAGAGAAATTCAAATTGGGAAGCCCCCTCCTCACCCTACCCCCTCCCCCCCCGAAAGACAGCCCAGGACTTCAGGTCACACATGGAGCAGGTAGAGAAAATGGCTGGTTTATTTGATGAGGCTGGTGGTCAAGGAATCACCACATGGGTGGGAAGAAGCAAAGGACAGACAGACCAGGTCCCCAACCTAGAAAGAGCAGGTGTCAACACCCAGACCAGGCCTGGCGCGGAGGGAGAGCTGGGGGAGGGGGCGCAGTTGGGCTCCCTGATGACCGATGTTTCTCTGGGTCTCAGGCATAGTTGAGAGATTTTCTAGAAGAAAAGAGAAAATGGTAGCATATGACCACTTCCAATCTGTTGAAACCTTTTCTTTTTGTGCTTTCTCACTATTAAAATATATTTATAGAACAAAATAGAAGTGTCCCTGCCCCCTCATTCCACTCTCATTCTCCCTGCTGGGTGGGGGTGGGATACCATTGTGAACAGGTTAGTGGCACCCAGAACTGAATGTCATATTCTTGCACCAAGAGTGAGACTTCCTCTCTGAGCCTCAGTTTCTTCATCTATAACATGTAAACAATTATAGCACCTTTTCCAGGGATTAATAGTATGACACAAATAAAGGGCCAATTACAATGCCTGTCACATTTAAGTGGTTTTAATTTTGCTAAGTGGTTATTCTTTGTGTGTTTTTGTTTTGTTTTTTAATCTTTATTGTTGAAAGTCGCCTCCACTACAGATGCCCCCTTTTTTCCCACTGACCCCACCACCACCACCACCACCAAGCACCCATCCTTCCCAGGTCTTCCCTGCATTAGTGTCTGTGTCCATGGGCTATGCATACATGTAATAAATCCCCCAATTCTTGTCACCCTACCCTCCATCCCTGCCTTCCCTCTGAGATTCCATGTTTCTATGTCTCTAGGTCTATTTTTTTCATCAGTTTATTTTGTTCATTAGATTCCACATATGAGTGAGGTCATGTGATATTTATCTTTCTCTGACTGGTTTATGAAACAAGGCATTCCTTCATAGAGTTTCTGTACTCCCACAGTTCCTTAGTATCTTACCTATTTCACCTGCCATCCCCTCACTTTTGCTGTCCTCTAAAATAGGTTCTGTGGTTCTGCCAAGTTAATCTATTTCCTCTCCCCCATTGGGGACTCACTTCTTCCTCCTGCCTCTGACCCTTTACACCTGAAAGACTCACCTCTCTACAGCTGCCCTGCACAATTCCTATCCCAATCTCTCTCCTTAACCTAGTCTGCCATTCTTCTTCTCATACCTGTTCCTGCATGGTCCCACCTCCAACAGGCCTTCACTCAGCACTCAGAGGTACTTTCTGAGTAGAGCATATCTTGTAAGCTTTTCTTCACACCCTCACATTAGACTCACCTTCTCAGTACCTTTAGAGCACCCATCCAGAGCAAAGCAAGTGCCATGATCCCAGCCCTGCCCCTGGGCGATGGTGTCCCAGCTCCTGGATGAAGCTGAGCATGGCTTACTCTAATACTCACCTACCAGAACTTCACCCACTGCAGCAGGCCAGGTCGTGCTCGGGAAGCCTGTGGGACAGAGAGAATGTCTGAGTGGACATCGCACTTCCCCTGCACAACCTCTGCCCTCAGACCCCTTCTCTCACACGACAATTTTCTTTGCCCCAGTACTTACCGAGGAAGAAAGTGTGGCTCCTCCCTGTAAAGAGAAGATCATTGTAGGTGATACAGGTGCTACAGGGAACTCTCTAGACTCTGCCTTGGTGCTCAGAAAGGGCTCAGTGGAAGAGGCAAGATCAAACCAGTTTATCTCAAAGCTCCTTTAGTCTGACTGTAGACATTCAGCCCATGGAAGTTTTTTCACAGCAGAATTTATCATTCAAAGTACACATTACCCAAGATGATACTGAATGTGCTCCCTTAGCACACTCTGCCCACAGGAAGTGGATGAGAATAGGTAGGACTCCCTCTGCCTGCAAGGCAGATGGAAATTGGCCACAAATAATTGGCAAAGTGGACACCCACAGGCAGTATGGACTGCCGCTTCACCTGTCAGCAGAGAGTTTCTGATCTCTCGGTGGAAGGCTTCTCCTTGAGGACAGGGCTTTACTGTTCTGAGAGGGAGAGGGAAATACCACCTGTTTTTGCCTCACCAGCCCAATTAGTATTTAGCACATTCATTTACTGACTTTGTAGGACTGCTTTCTTTGCAACTGAATGCAACGAAATTCTCAAACGTTCTTCCTTTTAGTTCTTTTGTGGAATGAAACATTTATTCCCACCAACCAAGAGTTCCTGGACAAACCCTGCTGCGCCCATCCTCCTCCCCCTCTACTCCCACCATGCCCCGAAGGTCAGCAGTTAAAGAGGTAGAGAGTGGATACTACAAAGGAAGTTCGCTTGTGCTGCCATGTTTCGTGATTTTCTAAGGAGCATATACTGGTATTTCTCTTTGAGAGGATAGTAGTTTCCAGTTTTCTTCATGATGTAGCTGCTGCTCCCTGTAACCTTTTCTAAATGTGGCTGTAAAGAGCCTTGAACCTACTTCCTTTCTCTAAGAGCAGTTTGGAAGTGCAGGATAGAGGGTGTGGAAAGAGATGACTTTCAGAGTGAACAGGATTTGGCCTCAGCTAACCCCCATAGAAGATCCTGGCAGCAAAAGCCTCCCTCCCTCACCTCCATGCAGAGACCCCAATGGGAAAACAGGACAGTTGCAAGTCTTACCTTAGCGGGAACTTTGGCGGAGTACTGCCCACCAGAAACAGGAGGATATGCCTGCTGGTTATAATTGTAGTTCTGCAGAAGAAAGCAAGGGTTGTGGGCAGTGGGGGGTGGGGGCAGCACAGAAGGGATGGAACCATTTTTTCTCTGGAATAAACTTGATTATTTACTCCCTGCCCTGGCTGGACCTTTCTCAAAGCCCCTGCCTTCTGCCCCTCCTGGTGTCAGATGTTTTCTTTTCCAGAATCCCCTTCAGCCATCCACAGCCCACACACTCACATCCTTATGATCCCAGCCCAAATGGCTCTGCCTTCTTTCCTCTCCTAATTCAAGTGTTACTTGGGAGGTGAGGAAAGGAGACCAAGAAAAGAAGTGAGGTCTAACTCAGATGGTCAAGTGGCAGATATCTTACCTTAGAAGTTACAGCTTCTACCTCTCGCCATCCTGCATCAGGCTGAGAAAATTACAGAACAGAGGAGTGAAGGAGGAGAATATGAGGTTGGGCAGACTGAGGAACAAGACTGAGAGACACCGAGGGTCTCCAAGGTCAGTCTGAGGGCAGAGGCTTACCTGACCAGCACTGCCTGCCCTCTTCTGAAGTGATGATGATGAATAGTCATCCTGCAAGAAGGGGGCCACAGTTAGACTGTGGTTCTCAGGCCTCACCAGACTTGTGGGACTCCAATATCCTGCTGCCTGGGTGCTCCCTCCTTTTGGAGCACCAGCATCCCACCTACCCGCCCCGCCCCTCTCAGTAACCCAAGAGTGCTGTCCACAGAGAGGGCACTGAGCCTAGAGGAAACTGATGGTCCAGATAGATGCAGATGAATAGATTTCCACACTCAGAGTTGGGAAGTGAGGGTAGTGAACTGGGTTTAGCAACACAATCCCCACCCAGGCACCTGGAATGTTGGCAGGCTGGTCTGAGACTGAGCTAGAATGACAAATGTGTGGTGCTCACACAGGCGCCCAGGGAATTTCTAAGCCCCAGCCCACCTTTTGCTGATGCCAAACCCTGCTCCCCACATAGGCCCTTTTATCCCTGCTCACAATGTTTTTGTGAGGCAAAGTGGAGTATATAACATTAGCTCTGGGTCAAAGAGGAAGTGGAGAAATACAAGGACATAGATGAAGGTGCTTAGGACACTGCAGATGCGCTACCCTCTCCCTCCCCCAGGTGAGGCAGGGGAAATTCCTAAGCAGTGGGAGGGAAGTTCAGTTCCTTCCATCGTCAATTCTCTACTAGGACACACCGCCACCTCACACACACAGCGGGTTAAGATGTTCTTCTTAACTTTCCACCTCTCCCTCACCTGACATTGAGTTTTAGCCCTAATATTGAGGTCACAAACTGGTCACCACCGACCTCCAGACATTTTTTATGTGGTTTGCATTTTTAAAATTGACTTAGTTGTAAGCAACTCAATATCAGATTTCTAACTTTCCTTGAAGAATCAGGTGATATGGTCACATGGTACATGACAACACTCAGTTGGAAGGCCTTGGCCCCTCCTTTGTATGGCCCCACCTATCCGACTTCATGTTTCTGGCCCATGTAGATGAGTGATTAGGCAACCCTTGTCTTAGTGCCTAAGAGGTCTGATTCCTGGAGGCCACTTGCCATGCAGAATCGGGGTGTGGCTTTCTGGAAGACCCAGAGGTCCTGCCCATCCTTCTCAGAATGCAGAAATTCAGACCCTGTGCACCTGCCTGCGGTTAACAATGACTTGATCCCTCCCCCCAACACCTGCTGTTTCCCTTCAGCTTTCCTCCTAGTTCCCACTCTTTCCAGTTCTGAGGTCTTGCCTTCTTCCCACCGCCCTAGTCCCCATCACCTGTTCACCCTGCACTACCCACCCAGCTGTGCCTCCCCCCACACCAGACCAGGCCCACCAGGAGCAGCAGCGGAGCAGAGACATAGGCCAACTTCATATCCCCTTGTGCCTGTGAGGGCCCCCACCCTTGGCCGGGGCTTTAATCCTAAGGAGGACCTGCCACCCTGCTCTTTCTTCAGTGACTCACAGCCTCTCTCTCCCACCCCACCCCCACTCAGCATTGCACAAAGGAGAGTGGGAAGGGAGGGAGACACCCTCCCTCAGCAGAGAGGGTAAGGAACTGGCACAGAACCTGCAAGCCATTGCCAATGACCCAGCACCCCACATCCCCAGAGCTGAACTTCCTGACCCCAAAACAAGAGGTTCTGCTGCCCTTACCTCAATAATTGCTTTCCAGTTCAAAAAAGGAGTATTGTGTTTGAAATCCTGGAGGAAGAAGGAGAGATTGAGTGGACCACAAGGAGACAGAGGGTGGAGTGTGGCAGCTTATTGGGAAAGTCTCAAGACCATGCACAAGAATGAGTTTTGGAGCCCGGGTGTGGTTGGGGTTAGATGAAGATATGCTTATTAAGGGTGTTAGAATTTCTGATGGTATTTGTGATAAGATTTGGATGAGATTGCTCCTCTCCAAAATAAACAGAGGGGGGATTTTGTGACAGGAGCTGGGGTTTGGCTGCCTTGAGGGAGTAGAGAGAGGGACAGGATGACAGGATTCTAGTTCTTCAAAAAGTGAGAATTGTCCTACCTCCCAGAGTCGACTGAAGTAGAGGAGGGCTCGAGTGCTGGGGGATGGGACTTGGCCCTGTGGATGAAAGGGGGGAGCAGGTTAGCAGAGAGCTTGACCCCCTGATCATCTAAGCCCCTACTCTTGCTCCCACCATCTTTCGGTCTTCATAATTGCACTATGACCAAGATTTAGGGGGAAGCTGGGTGTCTTTAGGGGTCAGAAAACTATATTTGCAAGCAGGGGAAGAGAGAAGCTAGATCTCTGGAGCCATTAACTGTCCTTCCCGCCCCACACACACAGTCTTCTTCTCCACCCCATTTCCCCTTCCTCTGGCTGAACATAACTGCAGCAAAACCTCAGACTAAGACCTACCCACAGAGCTTCCTGCTTTTTCACTTGCCATGTCACCTCCAGCCCATTTCCCAAAGCTGGGGGCTTAAGTTACCCCTTCCATGCCCACCCTGGGGTAACAGTTGAGACGTAAGAAAGGAGCAGACACCAGGAGTGTGGGGCAGCTAAGGTTTATTTCAAGGGCAAAGGTTGAGATTAGTGGTGAATAGGGTTTGTATGTTTGTTTAAGCAGGGGTAGGGGGCTCCCATCCATCTGGTAGCTCCTTGTCTGGAGGTCACGGGATGTGAAAACTCCTCTCGTCCTGGGCAAAGAAATGGGTTCTAAGAGGGAGCTTGAGGAATAAGATTTCATGGAGTAATGGAAAGTCAAGGTGATATTAGATCCCTGCTCCAGAAATCTGCAGGGACCTTTTTGAACCACAGCTGTCATCCAGTCAACCCCAGCTTGGGCTTGAAAACTCTCATACCTTGCCAGGAATGTTACGTACAGCCCCCGTCTTCACTCCTCATTCTGTAGGAAGTCCTCAGCACCTCACCCTGCACTGTGAATGAGCCAGGGCTCTCCATTCTCTTCTCTGCCCAACTCTGTCCTGTCCCTCTTCTGAGATCTGTGTCTCTGGGAAGTCATCCCAGGTGAATCCTGCCTGACTGCAGGCACTCACTGTACTTCCCCCTCTAGATATACAAAAACGCTTGGCTATCTGTCCTGGCCCTCTGGGAGGTCGTCTGTGTGTGCCCGAAGGTCCCCATGCTCAGGGGTCTGGCTTCCCCACCAGAGACTGTGCTTCTAAACCAGAAATAGTCTATTTTGTTCATTTAGTTCATGAAAACCAGACTGTGCCACATCTGGGAACATCTGTATCTTCTGTCTTCCACTCCCCCCTTTCTCAAAGGGCAGGCTTTGACTTTTCTGGGGTTTGGGCTGCCTCTTTGCCTCTCTCTATCAGGACCCCTTTTTCCACACAGGTTTTGGAGGACAGGATCCTACTCTTCATTCTTTTTAAGTTAATGTTTATAAACTCAGCTGAACATGGCCAGTCAGGTGGCTAGAATGGCTGGGGTGGGCAGGGGGAGTCTGACTTCTAGAGAGCAAGTCCCCATGGCAAGAAGCAGCAGTTACTCAGCTTTAGTTTATTGTACCTAATGGAACTGTAGCCCTCTGTTGACAAATTTTTCAATAGAAGTCAGAAATCCAATTCATTTTGTGAAGTCTGTCCATTTTTAAACTTTGGTAACTGATTCATCTTGTGTGTGTTTTTTAATGTATCAAAAAAATTTTTCATAATTGGGCTGCCAGTTACAGCTTTTGCTTTTGGTATTTGGGTTGTTTGTCTGTTCTCATCCTCTCCTTTCAGTCCACTCTCTGCTATTGTGGTGTCACACCGGCTTAGCCAGGGGGTTCCTACCAGAGGAGGGTGTGGACAGGGTGAAAGAAGAAAGGGCTCCTGGGCCCGTGTGTCCCCTAGTGTTACGTACGTACAGGGCACCCATGAGGCACTCAATACCTGTTGGCTTTCTCCTTCCTTTCTCTCTGTGTGTCAGTCCTTGTGTGGCCTTTTAGCTCCACCTGACTATTCAGTCTACTCTCCCACCCTAGCCTTTGCTGCCTCTCTGATTTCCTGAGTATTACACCTACTTACTCTCCCATTAACCTCCAGGTCTCAGAGGGGAAACTGAGGTTTAGAACTGTGCAAGTCTGCATGTTAGGATATAAAAGAGGCCCATTCATTTCTCATTCTCAATACCCAGCTGTTTGCAAAGTCTCCCTCTCTTCATATTTCAGCTGTCCTTACTCCTTTTTTTGTTTTGTTTTGTTTTGTTTGTTTGTTTGTTTGTTTGGGGTGGGTTTTGGTGTTCTTTTTTTTTTTTTTAGCATTATCCAAAATGCTCTTCATGGCCATCATCATTTCACCTGGCTTAGAGGTTTACCTTTCTTCTCTATATATATTCCTCTCCCACAAAGGTCATATGACATGGCCTTCCAGCCCTTACCTTGTTTATGGCATCCCAGTTAATGAAACCCAGCTTGGATTTAAAGTTCTGCAAAGAAGAGGAGAAAAAAAAGGAGAATGGCAAAATTGGATCAAATAATGTATTTGGCTCGGGGCTTCGGGACAAGAGAGATCAAGGACCATCATTGACAAAAGTTCTAAAAAAAAAAAAAAAAAAAAAAAAAAAAGACTTCATCCTGTGAGGTCAAGGGGACAGGGTTTTGGTTTTCCAAAAGAGAATAAATGAGCAGAGCAATCTTGCTGAACTCACCTTCCAGAAAGTGTCGAAGTTGAAGAGCCCAGGAGATGTCTGAGAGTTCTAAGGAACCAATGAGAAATGGGATGTAAGTAAGAACACACTTTGTGAGCAAGAGGCAGGGGCTGGAGCAATGGATGTTTGGAGGGTCCTAGCTTGAGGTGGGGTGATGCCTCCACTCACCAAATTATCGATTCCACCGACAGCTTCACCTCCCCCACTGGACCCTTGCCCCTGGGTGGGGAAAGGGGACTGGTGTTCAAGGCTCATGCATCTTGTTTTGCATACCACCTATCAGGCTGCTCCTGGCCCACTCATCTTTGCCTTTGCTCAAGCACCATGTACCCTCTGTAAAGCCACCTCTCTTCTTTACACAGCACCTAAGAACCCTACCTCCAGAAAGCCTTCCTGGAATGACTCATTATTTGCTGCCTAGAATAACCCTACCCACTCCCTAATATATAGCCTCACTGTGCTCCAAGCACTGTGTCTTATCCTTCCATGTCCTTTGTGGAGATATCTCCATTTGACAGATGAGGAAACTGACACTCAGCACTGTCCAGCAGCTTGCCTCAGATCTGTCTCCATGCCAGACTTCAGTGTCTGGATCTCGGCCCCCTGGTCAGGTTATGATGCAGAAAGCCCTGCAGTAGCTGTGGGGGTGAGAAAGTTGGGCTTCGTGGTGCCCTTTCTACCCACGAGAAAGGCCAGACTCACAGAGGTCAACTGACTTGCCTGAAGATTCACAGATGACAAGTGATCTCCCTTTGTAACTCCAAGTTCACTGCCTTTATGCTTCTCAACACTGCCTTCTTAAGTATGATTTTTTAAATCCCCCTTAGCTAGCCATTCTTCTGTTATTTTAATCTATTTTTTTCTTACAGAGGTAATGGTACTGTAATTGCAGTTGGAAGAAGGGAGAGAATGGATGAATCAAGGAGAATGACAGGGATCCTGGACCCCTGTTGGTCTCCTGGTAGTCACCTGACAGATTCAGAGAAGCTGGCAAGAAGAAACTAATATTTCTCTTTCTTTCCACAGGCCTTTGGCATTCTATCCCCACATTCCACCATCCCTTCTCCTAAAAATATCCCTGCTCACCTGATAATTGCCTTGGGAGTTCCCAATGAGGCGACTACCTTCCTTGCTTATTCCCTAAGGAGAGAGAAAATACAGAATAGTTGGTGGGGAAGTAGGCAAGATGGGAGGTGAGATGTCAGTGAAGGATTCTTGAGTCAGGGGACTGAGGCAGGAGCACAGCTGAGTCCTTCCCAGGACCCCAAGAGAGGCCCTTCTCTCTGGGTAGCTCTATCTTTCCTGGCAAATCTTGTTTCACCCCCTTGTGGATGCTCATTGGTACCATCACCATCTGTTTCTTTTCTGTCTGCAAGCTGTCCACAATTCAGTAGGAAGGGCCTTTGCCACCAAGTAGGAACTAGCCAGGCTGCTGTTCTGAATTAATTCAAAATGCAGGCTGGGCCAAAACCGGTTTGGCTCAGTGGTAGAGCATCGGTCTGCGGACTGAAAGGTCCCGGGTTCAATTCCAGTCAGGGGCATGTACGTTGGTTGCAGGCACATCCCCAGTAGGGGGTGTGCAAGAGGCAGCTGGTCGATGTTTTTCTCTCATCGACATTTCTAGCTCTCTCTCTCTCTCTCTCCTTTCCTCTCTGTAAAAAAATCATAAATTTTTTTTTTAAATGCAGGCTGGCTGATGTTTTGCTTTAGTCAGGAAGGTGATACCAGCTGGAGAGTCCCTGGGAGAAGAGGCGGCACAGAAGTCAACTGCTAGTCTCCTCCTTTGGCAGAGGTCAGATCCTTTTGAGATCTGCTTTTACTGTTTGGTATGGATCCCAAACTCATCAGCATCTCTTCATTCCCAGAGCTAAAATCTAGACTGGCTGGGAATTGGGACTGTCTGCCCTGTTGGTATTGCTGCTGCCACCACCCCTACTCTCCTCCCCTTGATGTCACCAGAGCTGCCAGGGCCTCTGAAGCCCTGAGGGACAAGACAGTGAAACACAGCTCATTGTTTAACTAGGTCCATCCCTGCAAATTCCTGTGTGACTTAATAGGATTCCTCTTAAAATCCTAATGGAAATCTCTTTGGAACCTGTCAAAATCATCTTGAAGTTCATTTGGAAGAATAAATGCCTACAAATTGGTCAGAAAACACTGGAAAAGATGAGCAGATATTAATGTACTATAAAGCTACCATGAACAAAACTGTGGTTCCTGTCTCAGAACAGATCAATTTAACAAAATAAAACTCCCAGAAGCTCTCCCCAAATATTAAGGTATATATACATGATGTTTTAAATCAGTGGTAGAAACAATTCAACACACAGGGCTGGGAATAGCAGTAATGTATTTTGGAGAAAAACTTATTTATACCTCACAGTATCCTCCCTTCTATTTTTATCTGATTGTCACTTCCTACGGCAGCACACAGATCTAATCCAAAGTGTAGGTAGGGCCTGCCTAGTTGGATCCAGGAGTGGACTAGACAATATATACCAAAATACTGCCCAGGTAGGTTAAAGAGTTAAATTTAACAATGAAATTACAGAAGTATTAGTAATGCTAGAAGAAAATAAAGACCTTTATTTTCAAGAGCAGTCACCATAGAAAAACAGACTTTGGTATATAAAAAAAAAAAAAAAAAAAACTAAAAATAGAGTAACAAACTATGAGAAGTTTTCTTGAGACCTGTCTACCTCCTAAGATATTGGGTTAGTATCCCCAATATCTTAGGAGCTCTTCAGAGAGCCTTGTCAATGTAGCGTCATAGGGTTGTGCTCCTCGCCCTGCAGGCGACACTCACACCAGGTGCTGCTGCTCTGCACCAACCTCCCCCAGAGCTGATTCAGAACCCGCATTTTCACAGGACCTCTGGGCCATTCATGGGCACCTTAGTGTAGCACTTCCTCTGTCAGCACTGCAGATTCTGACAGAAAGCCCAGATTTCCAGAATAACTAGGAGGGGGATGCATGCTTTCAAAAACACCGTTTCAAACCAATGTCAAAGGGTTTACAAATTGTTTTCACTAGCCAGGCACAGGACATTTGAAACAATTATGTTTCTAAAAGGAATGGTCTTCAGGTGATTTTTACAGCCCGGTCTGTGGGGGTATGTCACATAAGAATTTGCAATTAATTTTTCCCTTGGAGATGGTTAGTAATTTTTGTGCTTGGTCTCTGCTCCTAAATTGTAACTCCCCACAGTCGGGGTTGAGGTGAAGATTAGCATTAGGAGTGGAGAGCAGAGCTGGGTTATAAGGAGTGGGCACAGTGGCAGAGATGAACTGTGGTAACCACAAGTTTGCCTCTCACCTGAGCCCCAGATCCTCCGGCCACTCGGACTTCATTTCCTGGGTTGTCACACTGTGGGCGAGAGAAAGAGAAGACTTGCTCTCAGTCCCTACCCAGATGCCAATCCCAGTCCTCAAGTTGCAGCCTTGTAGCCCTGAAGTTCATGCACATCAGCCTCACTCCAGCAGCGGTCCGCCCCATGCTCAGCCCCAGCGGTCATTCTCCCAACATCCTCTTTTCCTTCCCACGGTTTCAGTTTCAGGGAGACTTGTGCAGGTGCAAACCGTAGACACTCACCCCGGGTTTATTTCCACCACTTCCTCCACTGCTTCCTGAGGAAGAGCTGGAACCGTGTTCCTATGAGGGAAAGCCAGAGTCCATCTGTTGTCTTCAAGGGACTTGGAAGGGACCAAACGATTCCCAGATTCCCAGCCATGTTAACTCCCTCTGCCCGCCCCCTATCTTCAGCCAGTCGTTCACCGCGGGAAGTTATGGAAGCACTAGGTGTGACCAAGTGCATTTGGGGATGTGGGTCACAGGAGGATTCTGAGTTGTTGCTCCCACTTCCCACCACATGCCAGGAGTGGAAGGCCTCTGGAGCCCAACTGCACAAAAGTCCCCTGACACCTGAGGGCAGGCTGGCCTCGTTCCCAACTGCCCCCGTCCCTCCTCTCCCCTGGCCCTCTCCTGGAACCTAGCAAGGGGGAAGCACCACTGGCAGGGAGCCTGAATTTTCTAAGAGAAAACTAGATGGGGTAAAAGCCCGTAGTACAAGGAGCAGTAAATTACAGCAGTTTATGTTATCTGGCTTGCTCTAGTTGCCTCCCTCCTCTTGCCCGACACCTTTCCCAGACTCCGAAGGAAGCCAGTAGTGTTCTCGCTCTACAGGCCCCCCCTCTTGGAGGTCCTGCCTAACCCAGCGGGCAGGCTGTGGTCCTTCCTGGTCCTTTCACCATCGGGAGGGGCCTCACGTGCAGCATGTGTATTACTTTGCCTGTACCACAGCCCTGTAATGTCTTAAGTCTCCATGTGTGCAGGCTTGCCCCCACTCTCCCAGGAGCATCCCTAACAAGTATTATGTTGTTCCGTGCCCACCTCCCTTCTTCCATTCATCACACCCAGCTGTAGTCAGATTTCCCAGTGGCCACAACTGCAGGAATTGGGGCTAGACAGGGGAGAGAAGATCCCCACCGTGATGCAGCAGAGATAAGGAATAGAGTGAGCAGAAGTAGGAAGGGCACCTCTTCTGGAAGCCTGCGTGATGGGGCTGGGAAGGTGGGAAACAAAGTGAAGAAGCCACAGGATGACCACTGCCGGTGATGCCACCCACCCCAGGGCTGGCCGCTGCCGTTCAGGAAGGCTTTGGAGCACATGTCCTCAGCCGGGACATCTACGGGCCTCAGCCTCATCTCTGCCTTCAACATGGGAGCAGAACTCACCCAGTTGCCTCCAGAACTGCTGCCGCTGCTGCTGCCACCACTGCCTCTGCCTCCGCTGCCGCTGCTGCCACTGCTGCTGCCACCATTGCTGTCACCACTGCTGCTTCCACCACTGCTGCTTCCACCACTATTGCTGCCACCACTGCTGCCGCCGCTGCTGCCACCGCTGCCGCTGCCGCCGCCACTGCTACCACTGCTGCCGCCGCCACTGCCGCCACCGTTGCCACCACTGCTTCCCTGAGGGACAGAGGGAGCACTAAAGGTGAGAACACCATTGCTTCCCCCATCCCCTTGTTCTGCTCAGGCATATTCCTGCCCAGCCTGAGAAAAGAGTTCTGTTTTCTCCCTGTGCCACATGCCTCAGGTGCCCCTCCTCTTACCCAAGAGTTGCTAGAGCTTCCACCTGAGCCGGAGGGCGGAGAGTTGGTGCACTGCAGGAAAAAGTGGACAGGCGAGGGTGAGGTTTCAGTGAGGGCCACCGCCACAGGCCAGGCTCTCCCCGCCACCCCCGCAACCCCCATCTCACTGACATCCCCTCTCCCTTGTCTCCTCTCCATGCTCATCTCTCCCTGGCCAACCTGCCTCCCATCTTTTTTTCCTCTTTGTCTCTCCTACTTCTGTCACATGCACCCAACACTCTCTTCTTTTCCCTGACTCTTCCTCTTACCTCAGTATTTGGATTGTTGTTGCCCCTCACTGAGCCATAACCAGGTTGGGCCACAGCTCCCTGCAGAGAAGGTGAGACTGAGTACCGGATCTGAAGGCGGAGGAAGGCATGAGAGTGTGGGATGAAAGGGGTGAAGGATCAGAGCTGGTTGCTTACTTTACCTGAGCATTGGTCCCCACGTTGTATGGCCCTCCATTGCCTCCTTGGCCCCAGGAGCTTCCTTGAGAGTTAGTTCCAAAGTTGCCACCTGAGCCTCCAGAGACTCCATGGATCCAGGGATTCCCTGGACCTTCAGGAATGCTCTGGCTTTGGGCTCTGAGGCCATCCTGAGAACCAACGGTGCCGTGGCCTCCAGATGGAGGCTGGCCATTGGTTCCCTGCAAGGACAACATGCATGCACTTAGTGTGTGTGACCTTTATCACTCGTGACTGGGTAGGGCAGGCAGAGCAACTGAGATAAGAGAGGAGCCAGAGCAGGGAATAAGGAGAGGCAGGGAGAGACCCCAGGGTGGTAGAGAGAGGATGCACAACATGGACAGGAACTGCCCCAGACAGCCGCAAATAAGACTCCTTCTCTTCCCATTGATTCCCAAGATTCTCAACCCAGCTTCCTACAGTCTCCCATTTCCACACCCAGCTTCCTTCCAGCCACTCACCCAAGCACTGTTGCTGCCAGGCATCCCCTGCCAGGAGCTGTGGACAGCATCTATTCCATGTCGAATAATGTTCTCAGCCTGTCTGCCAGCCTCACTCCCAGTGTTTCCAAGAGCATGGGCTGCCTCTCCAGCCCCTTGGCCAATGGCCTCCCTGATTCCATGATTAATGGCATCTCCCACCGCCTGTCCAGCAGCCTCCCCAAAACCTGTTTCAGCACTTGCCCCTCCACTCAGCAACGGGCCAGCCTCCCCACTGCCCAGGTACAGGGCCAGCAGGAGGCAGGCCAGGGACCCCTGTAACTTCATCTCGGCCTCACTCCTTCTCCCTCCTAAGTGTCTTTTTCCCACTCCGTCTGTTGGCCCTTTCTCGTCTCTGTGTCCGTGTGCCCTCCTCCGTTCTCTTCTTCCTTCTGACTTCTTGTTCTTACTCCTTCTAGGTCTGCAGCCTACTCTCTCCTTTCCCAGACTCCCCTGCCTTCCCAGAGGCCTCCTCCCTGCCACTACTCCTTATACTGCAGCTTGGGAGAAGGTGATGGGGCTGGGCAGCCTGGAGTCCCTCCTCCCAGTGACTCAAGGCCAGCACTGATAGGGTAATGAGCTGTAATTGTGAGTCTGAAAGTCTGTGTTGAAACAGAGAGGGAGCCCATGCATCAGGGAGGGAGGGAGAAATGGAATGAGATGGCTGCAAAGTGTTCTAGTTTCCCAACAAGAGGAATTTGGGACGCAGGGTGGGGATGGGGGCATCTGAGGAAATAGTCTATTGGTGTCTCCTACCACCTCGGTAGGCGGAGGGAAATCACAGGACGGGCCCCACCAGTGGGGCAAGGATACGAAACTCAGTGGGGAAGGGGACAGGTGAGTTAGGTGTAAGCTAGCCTAGGTCGGGGGTATAAGAATGGCGATAGGTGACCTTTTTCTCAGTTTAAGTTAGCCTTTGCCTCTTCCATTTCTCTTCTCCCCCAGGCTGCCATCTAAAGGTGCCTGCCCTCACCCTCTCCACAAATCCAGAGAGCTTGGGAGCTGAGACTGGCCTCAGGTTTCAGTAGGGACCCCAGGCCTCCAGGAAGGAAGTGGCCACAACCCTGAGAGTGGTCATCAGGGTGTCGCAGTTAACATCCTGGTGGCTCTTGGCTAACAAAGCTGGGTGTGGAGCAGGGGAGCTGGGCGGGCCAGCCACCCCCAGGGAATGAGTGGGAGGCAAGACCTTGGGAGGGAGCGGCTGACCCAAGCACCCATCCTGTTTACCTGTTACGGAAGGGACACGTGTGTGAGTTCATGGCCTCCTGGAAGGGCTAGGACTGCATCAGCTCTTCCCACCCACCCTCAGTCCTCCCCCTTCCCCCCCCCCCCCCCCCCCCCCAGGGACCAGGATGACCCTGGCAAGGGAGCAGGGATGAGATCTGACCAAGTTCCGCATCCTGAGCTGGGACCCGTAGAGCATCATGCTGCTGACTTAGGGCACCTGCTCTTGTGCTGACCCCTCCCACCCCACAGCAAGCATGGCTGCCTCTGTACTCCCAGGAGCCCAAGCCCTCCCACTTGCCACTGCCTTGTATCACCACGACTCATCGCCCAGTTAGGAGGGGTCAGTTTCCATCTGCCTTTCTCAATGTCTCCCAGTCAGTCTCTCTCTCCACCCCAGCACCCACACCCCAACTTGTAACATTTAACACCTCTCACCATGTGAAAACAATCCCTGTCTGTCCTCAGCAGCTGCTACCTCCCCATTATTCTATCTCTGATTCTTCAGTGATGATAATAAATGTGGTGGTAATAATAATAATAATAATAATAATAATAATAATAATAATTGCAGCTCCAATCTATCAAGGGCTTTCTATGTGTCCGGCACTGGACTACACACTTTAAGACTCAGACAGCCCTGGAGATCGGTCTTATTATTACCCCACTTAGAGTTGGGAAGTTGGGGTTCAGAGAGAACATGTGAATGTTTGGTACAGCAAAACGCAAGGCCAGCCTGCCCACTCCTAAGCCCTGGCCCCCAGCATTTTCTGTCACCTCAATATTTCAGACCTCCCCCTGCTTTGTAAAACCCTCATTCTTCCCTGGATATAATTGGTTTGGGTTTTGACCTGGCATCTTGGGGGGGGGGGGGGGCGGGGAGGCACAAGAAGAGCAGGAATAAATCTGAGGCCTCCAGGATTGGTGGTGGAGCCCCAGCCCTGAGCCTGCTGCTCCCCATTTGCCGAGGATAGGACCTTGGCAGGCAGCAGAGCGACCACTGACTCAGACTCCTTGCCACACTTCCTTCATGGGACACACCTTCACAATGGCATACATCTGCCCTCTGCCTTCTTTGTTGCTAAGACTTTTTTAAGCTAGCTTACTTTCTTAATACATTTTAAGAATATTTTATATTGCTTCTGGAAGTAGAAAGCCAGAATCACTTGCCCATAGATAGGAAGTACCAGAAAAACACAGAGAGAAGCAAACAATGGTGTTACATTACAGATGGCTGCAGTTTCTGCATCCTCTTTATTAGCAAGTATTAGAGAGATGTTTAAGGCACACCAGCACACAATTGAGTCTTCCTCTTAACAAAATCAGAAAGCTTCAAAGAAAATTAAGTTTCTCACTGGGTGGTTCAGAGTGATTTAAAGCCATGATCACAGACCACCTAAATTTTCTTCTGCCACCAGCAGGTTCATGTTCTACATTCTGAGAAAAACTACCTCAGACATTCTGTACCTGAGCAGTCACCTCAAATCAGTCGTAAGGCATAGTTATTATATACCCAGTCCAATATATGATGTGGTGCCTTCACATGCATGATCTCATTTAATCCTCGCATAACCTCAGGAAGGAGGTTGTTCCCGTTTTGCAGATGAGGTAACAGGTTTTTTAGCTTTAAACACGAACACAGGAACATATGTGAAAAAATTATGGTAAAATGGAGTTGTCAGAATTTCACCCAAGTTTGTCTGACTCCAAACAGCTTTTTGTCAGAATTTTACCCAAGTCTGTCTGACTCCCGCCCCCCCACCCCCACCTCACCATGCCTCCTTTGTTTTGTATATGATAGTATCCACAAATCTGGCATGCCTGCATCATGTCCACGACCTTCTGGTTTCATCTTTTCTCTCTCATGCACCACTTTATTCATTCAACAAATATTTATTGAGTACCTACCCTGTGCCAAGCCTGTTCTATGCACTGGGGATACCATGTGGAACAAGATCATCATAATCTCTTTCCTTAGAGAGCTCACATTCATTGTGGGGGAATTTGGACAATAAACATATCAGGTGGTGATGAGCACTATGAAGGAGAACACAGTGGAGTGAGGGAATAGAGAAGACAGAGTGGGTATTTTAAACAGGGTGATTAGGAAAGGGCTATGAACTGAAGCCCAAAGGAAGTGGGAAACTGAGCCATGAGGGTATCTGGGGATAGTGTATCCCAAGCAAGGGAATGGTAGTGCAGAGGCTTTGAGGCTGGAGCAGGGGGAAATGGGAGGAGTTTATATCAAAGAGGTAACCATTTTTAAAATAAATTTATTGGGGTGGCATTGGTTAATAAGATCATATAGGTTTCGAGTATACATTTCTATGGTACATGATCTATATTGTGTGCCCAACACCCAAAGCAAAGAATCTTCTGTCACCATATATTTGGCCCCCTTTACCTTTTACTACCCTCACCCCTTCCCTCTGGTAACCACCATACTGTTGTCTGTGTCTATGAGTTTCAGTTTTATATCCCACATATGAGCGAAATCATATGGTTCTTAGCTTTTTGTGACTGACTTATTTTGCTTAGTATAATATTCTTAAGATCCATCCATGTTGTCACCAAATGTCAGTATTTCATCTTTTTTATGGCTGAGTACTTCCACATCTTCTTTATACAGCCCCCTATTAAAGCACACTTTGGTTGTCTCCATTTCTTGGTCACTGTGAATAATGCCGCAGTGAACATAGGGGTGCATATATCTTTGCAAATAAATGTCAAGTTTTTCGGGTGGATACCCAAGAAGAGAGATTGTTGGGTCATGTGGTAACTCTGTTCTTGATTTTTTTGAGGAACCACCAGTCTTCTTTCCATAATGGTTGTACAGGTTTACATTTCCACCAGCAGTGAATGAGGATTCCCTTTTCTCCACAGCCTCTCCCACACTCATTATTAGCTGTCATGATGATAATAGCCATTCTTACAGACACAGGTGGTATCTCATTATAGTTTTGACTTGTGTCTTCCTAATATCTACTGACATTGAGCTATTGTATATCTGTGGGGTATTTGTATGTCTTCTTGGGAGAGGTGTCTGTTCAAGTCCTCATCCCATTTTTTAATTGGATTGCTTGTTTGTTTGGTGTTTTATATATTTTGTGAAGAAATAACCATTATGAAGACTTTGACTTTATCTGATTGAGATGGAACCAGCTGAGGGCTTGGAACTGAGGAAGGCTGTGATCTGACTTGGGTGTGAACAGGACTCCTCTAGGGAATAGACTATTGTGTGGAGAGAGGGGAGTACAGAGATCAGGCAAGGGGCTTGAGGATGGCGGGTTTGGAGGTTGGACTCAAGTATAGAGAGGAGACGAGGCCTTGGGTCTGGGCAATGTTTCTGCTCCCTTCTATGGGATCCTAGGCCTCAAACTAGTACCTACTGGCTCATCTCTTCCACAGTGTCTGTCCTGGAGTCTAGGTTGAAATTCTAGCTCCACCACTTACTAGCCATAATTTAAATCCATCTGTAAAACAATTTCCCTATCTGTAAGAGAGGTGAATGTGAGAATTAAATGGGGTAATTGATGCAAAGAGCTTAGAGCAGTGCCCAGCAAACATATATGTTGGGCGTGTTAACATTGTTATTGTAATGCTTTCTCAGCAGTTGTTTAATTTTGAGACATACACATGCACTTCCTGAAAGAGACAAATATAGAAACTTATTTTCAAAGAGGACTTACTTTGAAGCATCAGGGTTCCAGGGAAGCATGCCATCTCACTAGCAGAGAACACCAGCAGGGAAGTGCTCTTAAGAGAGACTGTCATCACCACTTACTAGCTGAGTGGCCTCAGGCAACTCTCTCCCTTCCTTGAACCCAAACTTTATTATCTGTGAGGGGGATAATCATGGTACCTGCCTCATGGAGAGGTTGTGAGGATGGAATGAATCATGTCTGTAAGTGCTTAGCATAGACATAGTAAGCATCCAATGAAGATGGCTGTCCAGTCCCGCCCAAACTCCTCTCCTTGTTCTTTCACATCTGCAGAAACTGGCACCTCCTGTCCCTGTTAGTCCCCAGCCTGGCTCTGCCTACCTGTGTCAGGTGCCTCATTCTTGCTCACACTTATTCCAAGGCCTTTCCCAAGTCTGCTCAAGCTTTCCTTCTACCAGTTGTCAGCCATTTGTGCCTAGCCTGGATCTTTTCTTTTAAACCTTAGTCTAGAGGGAAAATGGATATAAAATAAATAAATACAGGGTGTCCCTAAATACATATATATTGTAACAGCTGATTGCTCAATTTGAAAATGAAATGTATTTTAATAAACACTGCCTTTATAGTTATTCAAAGTTTGTGTACACATTTTGGGGGGACACCCTCTATATAACTACAAATTGTCATATATGCTATGAAGAAAAAAGCAGTGTGCCATGAGAAAGAATAACAAAGGTGGTCTTACGTTCAGATTGTGTGGTCTAGGTAGCTGAGACCTAAAGAGGAGGAACTAACGTAGGGGACAAAAGGGACATGGAGGTTTGTAACTCTAATTCACCTTCACCTTTTTTACCTATGCCCCCAGCCCTTTCTCCTCTGGCAGCACCCATTTGTCCTTTGTACCTATGTGTGTTTCTGTTTTGTTTGTTAATTTGTTTTGCTTTTTGGATTCCACGTGTACTGAAATCTTACCATATTTGTTCTTCTCTAACTGACTTATTTCACTTAGCATAATGCCCTCTAGGTCCATCCATGTTGTTGCAAATGATCAACTATACTTTAATTTCAAAGGGGAGATCATATAGAGAATATTCCTAGCAGAGTGAACCACATGCAAGCCTCAAGGCAAGAATGTGCCGTGCTTCTTTTACTCTTCAAAACCAGATACGATCTTCTTTTCCAGAAGCCTCCCAGGGTTGGCTCCCAGTGCATAATATCCCATGCCTCTTTGGCAAATAACCCAGTAAAAAAGAATGTGCATACAAATAACCATTGAAAGTTTTTACTTTATGAAATTCCCTTGAGTATTCCCTTTTTGGAAGGAAGTCCTCCAATGTCCAGCACAGAGCAGACTTTCAGTAATGTGTGCTATGAATGAATGCTTCTCTTTTTTAAAATGCAGGAAATGGATGTCTAAAATTTACTTTGAAATGCATAAAAATGTATAGATAGATGGATAGATGGAGAGATGTGTGTGATAAAGTTCTTTGTGCTAAATTTGAAATATGAAAATATAGAGAGTAAGGAACATCACCTTTATCATGCACACCCTACCTGGTGTGTCATTTGTTCTTACTGCTGCATTACTTTGCATTTGTTTTCATACTCTGTACTATGCCTGGTCTCTTCAGAAAGCCTGTAAATTACAGGGCAGAACACTGTCTCTCTTCCTTTTTTTTCTTTGGTCCCACCATTGATGGAATTTGATGCTGGAAGCCATGCTTATAGTCCTCTTCTGCAGGCAAGCATCCCTTCTTTATATAGGAGGAAATTAATGGTCCCCATGGAGGCCGAGGATCCTGATTGGAATGCCTGTCTCCCAGCAGGGTATGGCAATAGAAAGGCCTGCTGCTTTCTCATGGGTTACCCGGGGCAAGTGCTCTGCCCCTCTGAGCCTCAGTTTCCTCATCCATACAATGGGGATCATAAGAGGACTTATGCCTTTGGGTTGAGAGAGGTTTAAATGGTTAGAGCATGAACACTCTTCACAGTAAATGCTCAGTAGATAGTAGTTGCTATGATGATTCAGAGGCATTGAGTTATCCACGATCTGATACTAGGCCTCCTCAGTCACCATTCTTACCTTTGTAAAGAAGCTCTCCCTCCTGTCATCAGTGTGCCTTTCCCCCTGAACCTTTGGCCTTCCTCCTGGAGAGGGGATCTCCCAAATGTATGTCTTTCCTCTCTCCTTATTCACCGATTCCCATAGCTACTGATGCCGAACAAGGAAAGACCTCTTGGTTTTAGAATATCCTTTATAGCTGTTAGGCTGTTTCTCTCTCCAAATACTAGTCATGTTTCTTAACCTGTGCAAGCCTCTACATGCCTCTCAATAAAATGGGCAATAACAGTACCTCTTACCTAACTGGGTGGTTGGGAGACTTCAGTGATGTCATGCATGTAAAGCACTCGCCCGGGAGCCTAGCAGGCCTAACTTGCATAATAAATCCAAGTAATCATTGTTATTCCTTTGGCACAACATCCCCTGAATGAAGATGCTGAGATGGTTTCTGCCATGTCTTCCCTGGTGTTTCTGCCCCCACTACTGGCCTGAAGTGGGCTTTCTTTCATGATGCTCCTTTGAGAAATTGAGAAAGTACAGAGAGCCAGTACTCCAAGGCAGAGATGCCAAGAGGGGCACTCTGTAAGAACTGAGAGTTCTTACAAAGATTGCCTGCTTTGCCTCTTGGCAGAGAATCCCCTGCCACCTCATAGCCTGGGAATAAGCAAGTTGTGCCTATGGGTTTTAGGAGCAGTCTTAAGAGCAGTGCTGACCATGAACCTTGCACACTAATGGAACTCAGTTTGTCTAACTGCCTTCCTAGATCTGATCAGTCTGAAATCTCTAGCTCAACCTGTCCTGTGCATCAGACCCCCAGCTCTCAGCAAAGAAGCCAGAAGAGAAAAGAAGCCTCCCCTCACATTCCTCCTTAGGAAGCATGTGGACCAGAATGAGAGCATGTAGTATCATATTTATTCACAAATCTCAATACAGTTCCCTCAAGGGACTCCCAAAATCTACCCGCCTCCCATCCCTAGCTCTTCCAAGGCATTTCAGCTGATACGCCAACAGGAAAGCCAGTCTGCTCAGCAAGGCCAGTGCATCAGTTTAGGGAATGATGTTGGCGACGCTCTGGAAGAGAGAAGGAGATAGGGAGTGAATGCAGGGTATGCAGTCATAAGGGTATTGAGACCTTTGCCCTCACATCCTTCCCTAGGGAAATGAGAGTGAGATTGGCTACTTTGGCCCAGTAATTGCCTATATTCTATAGAATATCTTAAGGAAGGTAGCAACAAATTGAGAAAGTACAGAGAGCCAGTACTCCAAGGCAGAGATGCCAAGAGGGGCACTCTGTAAGAACTGAGAGTTCTTACAAAGATTGCCTGCTTTGCCTCTTGGCAGAGAATCCCCTGCCACCTCATAGCCTGGGAATAAGCAAGTTGTGCCTATGGGTTTTAGGAGCAGTCTTAAGAGCTGTGACACACCCTTACTCTTCCGCCCAGCCTCAGGCAGCTGAGGTACACAGCCAGAACTTTATTTTGGACCAGGATCGCACAGGAGTCTTTATTCAGGGAAAGGACAAGCTACAGGTTCCCACCACCCAGCATATTGCTGCATGACAGCAGGGATGCACAGCAGAGGTGTTTACAGCGGGTTTGGGTAGGGAAGGAGTCACAAAAGAATTGATGTGGAAAGGTGGTGGGCACATGGAGGGGATGGTTTCAGCCACCCCTCTCTCACTGGCGCACAGTATATGCGCCCCTGGAGGTCTTTTCTGTCAGCTGTTTGCTTCAGTGGGAATGAAAAACACCCAAGAGATAAAAGCAGGATGCGAAGGCACAGAGCAGGTGAAGAAAGGGACAAGCAGGGCTGGGAAATGGGTTGCATAGTCTCTGAAAGGCTGAGCGTCTGGCCACAGTGAAGTTGTCTATGAGCAGGCAATGGGAAGGGCAATGTACAGACATCTCCCAAGACGAAGAGCGGAAATCTAAAACTATGTGGGCACTCACCCTCCATAGAGCTGGAAAGCTGATGAAGGGCTTGTTGACCGAAGCCTGGAATTCAAGGACAAGGGAGTCAGTGCCCATCACCCTCTCCAGCACCATATCAGAAGGGCCTCCATCCCCCACTTCCAAGTCTATGCTCTGCTTGTGAGACTTACTCCAGATGTTAATGTTGTGGTTGCGCCCCCTCCGTGATGGCCGGTAGATCCGCCTTGGTGACCGCCCTGTTGACAAAGCCCAGACCATCATTACAACCCCTCAATGCTTGAGGGTCTCCCAAGTTACTTTTCCCCAGTTACCGGCTATTCTCTAGGGTGACTAACCCACTATCCCCTCACTGTCCAGAAATAAACCCAAAGGCCTGGTTGCTGTGGTCATTTTGTAGGAGATGGGAAGAAACGCAGTAAGGATGTCTGCCCCTACTGACTATTCTTCCCCCCACTCCCTTTTATTTTAGTTAATGAGATGCTTTCAGTCACTAGAAGGGGCCTGACTAGAAAGGGAATCCAGAGGACCCACACAAATGCCAAGACCATAGTTAACCTCAGCCCTGACCTTAACTCTACCCCTTTACATACACTTGAGCCTGATCCCTAACTCAGGTTGATCCCTATCTTCAATCCTATCCCCAGATACTCAGCAGTGCCACTCTGCTGCCGCTTCCAGCCTGAAGCCTTATCACAAACCTCCCTCTCCTGGTCTCTACATGGTGAATCTTGCTGTTTGTCTCAGCCCTTTCCCCTACCATGCATGCTTTCTACATAGACCCTTCCTCCTCACCCACATCCCTGGCTCCTGCCTGGAAGCCAATGTGGTTATAGGCTTTGAGGCTTAGGCCAGTTCCTCAAGATAGTATCCTAAAGACTCCTCATGGAAATTACGGAGTGGAGAATTGAGGCAGGCAGGAGACCTCCTTCTATTGCCAACTCCCTCCTGGGTGCCTGTTCAGATATGAATAGTGCTACTTGCCTCTCCTGTCCTCCAGTACTTGCTCCCTCTACCTAAATGAGGTTCAGAAACCCTCCAGGATACCTACTCCGATGAGGCAGTGTGGAGGAAAGAACCTGGGCCTGTGATTTGCCGAAGATGTGTGCTAGCCACAGGACCTTGGCAAATCCCCTTAAACCTCACAGAGCTCCAGTTTTCTCATCTGAGAATCA